AGGAGGAGGATGAGATTGAGGAGGGGAGCGAAGAATCTGGGGATTGCCAGCCAGTGCCGGTAAGGACATTCACTCGTTCAGAAAACATGTGCTGGTAGTTCTTCAGTGACGCTGCGCAGGCCGAAATAAAACAAACCAGACGAGTTTTTACCATCCGCGCACAACAACCGCACGGACAACCAGTCCCCCCTCCTAATTGGTATTCGTGTATTTTTCCAGTGAATCCCGGTGAGGTCATGCACCCCATTCAGTCAAGACAACCTTCACTCATGCTGTCGTTAAAGAAGCCGATATCACAAGAGTATCGAAACCGAAATCAAACCAGTGGTCTAGGCTTGTTCTTGGATATTGTTTTTGTATGTTTTGCGTTGGTCGCCGTACCATGCGTTTCTCATACTTTCTTCGTGTGAACAGCAGAAAATTGTTCGCTCCTCCCCCGAAATGGTATTCCATTCGATCTGTGTGAATGAGGAGTGAATTCAAAGAAGCCCCTCTATTGTAACGCTATCGCAAATGAGCAACCGCCGCCAGTACCAGCGGCTATGGCCACCCGGCAGTATGGTAACGCCACTTGCTAACCCCCGTCTTCCTATTTCGGCGCCTTAGCTGCTGCCCTCGCCATGCTCAGTTCACAAAACGCTTTTGGTGACCTCTCGTTTCGATTCTGTAGCTGCTCCGCTCCCATAGTTTTGGTCATTCGACGCCCTCCCTCACTTTTCCATCTCGATGCTGCAGCTGTTGCCCTCGTCATGTTCAGGCCACACGACACTTTCTGACCTCCCCCCCATCCCCATATGGTCCATGTCAATGTCTCGGCTGCTGCATCGTGTACTACGGTCACACGACGCTTGCTGACCTCCTTCTTCCCCCTCGTTAACTTCTAAATATGGCCCTTGCATGTCCAGGTAACACCACTTTCTGATCAATTCTTCGTATATACCCCCTCGTTTCCATCTCGACGCTGCTGCTGCAGCTGCTGCCCTCGTACATTCAGGCCACCACCTACACTCAGGCGGAGCACCCGGCGTCTTCCCTCGTAGACGGCGACTTGTACAACCGATGGTCCGCCCAGGTGAGCATTTTCGCTCATCCTCCGGAGTGCTTTTCGAGTTGGGCTTTCATTAAGCTTCCACTAACAGGAGGATATTATAAATAGTACAATAGTCCGATAGACTCATCAAGTTCAATAGGTGACGAGTTCAACGTGTTGCCGATCGGTTTCGCCAAGCATTGGACGTGCCGTTGGCTTCTGTAATGATGATATGCTGCGAGCAATTTGCAATTTCCTTTCGTAATCTTCTCCAATCCTGGTGAACCTCACACCCTTGGTCCCGTATATCAACAACCTCAAAACATGTCATCGAGAGATTCTTATTCATGTATATCAGAAAAAACGAGAAAAGACCGAGGCGTCTGTACATTGCACTACTACGAAATGAAGTGATTTGTCACGAAATGAATTGGTTTATCACGTGATCTTTGCGAACCTCACAACTCTCAATTGACTTGATTTCACTATGGTCGATTCACATCTGACGTATGACCTTTGTTTACTATGGTCTTTGTAAGCTCACAACTCGCAAATTTCTTGACATTGTCACGACCGACTTCATTTCATCACAAATGACTTTAATTCAATTATGGTGCAGGGCACCGGCGCGTGGTTTTCCGTCGAGCTGCCGGAGGCGGTGGTGTTGTCCGGGATGAAGCTGTGGTTCGAGGATGGTGACGAGAGGCAGCAGAAGTTCACAACTGTCTGTGTTGGCAGTGGAGAGGTAACGCAGCAATCACCAACGACGCTCATAATAGTGCGGCAACTTTCACAACTCTCGTAACGTTCCTCGCTGTATGCATGAGATGAAATATTTATTTTAGAAGTAAAGCAGCAGAGAGTAGATAAATTTCTCGATATGTGAACCACATAAATTGCTGAACACGCACGACAACGAACAATGCCACGCACTGATACTTGGATTCGAGTATGTACGCAGGGCGATGAAGATTGATACTTGCTGACATTTAAGTATTGTGTTGGTTGGGTGGTTTCTGGCATCCAATCAGGTAACTCATTGATAGGGATTGTCTCAACCGGGTGTTTCGTCGTGCCCAATCCATCAGGTTATCCTTCAGGAAGAAGAGAGCGTGATGGGGGAGGCCGGAGAGGGAGAGTTCTTCCCATTCCAAGAAGAGATGCTGATCAAGTCGGTCATGATCGTGGGATACGGGAATACCATCAACGACTGGAATAGGTGAGCACAGCCGTACGTTCTACGTGACCTGAGATGCTCACAGAGTCGGTCACGGATTATTGTCGTTGTTGTTGTTGTTGTTGTTGTTGTTGTTGTTGTTGTTGTTGTTGTTTTCTTCACGTTTATAACCATTCCGACCTCTCTACCCAGTACCTTTATCAGTCCGTATGCTTGACGCGGTCGACTGCCGGAGGTTCACAGGTTAGCTTTCCAGAAAAAGGTACCTGGTATACAACAATTTTAAAATGGATCCGTCGTGGGATATAGAGGAACTGTACACGATTGGAATAGATCGGTGTAGTGGTATCTCGCGTTCTCTACGTTGTCCGGGGTGTGTGGGCTCTACCAAATTCGCTGCTCTTGGTAGAAACAAGAGACCCTGCTAGATTCACTTCGGGCAATCCTGTAGCGTTCTACAAATATCCTCTACCAGGTTTACTGCGGAAAACAGTGTAGCGCAATTGGCCCTACTAAAATACATTCGCCGTGAGCACTAGTGTAGCGCCGTGCCAACGATATCTAGCCCCTTAAATATATGGCCCCCAGACGAGGTCAGCCGCCGCCGCTTCGAGTGAATGGACATGTTTGGGGCGGCGGGGATGAGTTGTCGGTGCCAGTGTGGTTCTTTGCACTTGAACAGTCGTACTGGTATCTGCTCAGCACTTTGCATTTTCCGTACTAGTCCAAGAACCCCTACTGCGGGCGGCCGCACGCTATGTAGCCACCTCACTTCTGGGTACGGAAAGAAAAAGGACCCAGAACATTCGATGGTGCCTACCAAAGCAGTCAAGACGTTGCTTGTCTGTGTAAGATTGACTTGGGCTATAAGGAATGAATCGAAAAAAAATGAATGTGAAGCAATGATGTTTGAAAAATAATGAATCGAGAAGCAATGATGTTTGCGTCGGAATGAATCGAGGATGACGTCGTCCCACGAAGAACACGTGGAATGTTCGCTACAGTAGATGGACCGGACGACGAGACCACTCGCTTAACAGTGAGCGGTCTAGATGAATGTCTGGAATCATTTTTTGGAGCGAATGTATTCACGGAGAACGCCTTGCATTTTCGCTAACCGTAGATGGACGGACCAGCCATCTGCGCCAACCACATAACAGAGCGTGGTCTTGAATGTTCGAACGGTGTCATCCGAAATGAATCTGGAAGAGCAACCCGTAGCACCTCGCTGGTTAGACTTTTGGCCTCTGGATATGTCTTTCCTACCGTAGACCGTAGACGTCAAGTCCATCTGGCTTTCAAACGCAAGTACTAGATGTGTTTTTGAAGGGTTGGGTTTGTCGTCATATGACGCCAAGGCGTCTCCTCAATCACCTGAGCCTTTTTTCTCCAGTACTGGATGTGTTTTTGAAGGGTTGGGTTTGTCGTCATATGACGCCAAGGCGTCTCCTCAATCACCTGAGCCTTTTTTTCTCCACCATCCCGTGTGTGCGCGCGCGTGTATACATTTCGTGTGGGAATGAACCATCTGACTATTTTCAGCATCAACGAGATCTGGCTGTGTGAAGGAGGCCAGGAATCTTCCAGGAAACTTCTGGGAAACATCTAGGGAATCTTCTTGGTGGCGGTCCGCGGTGGACGGAGACGTGAGTGGTCTACTGAATTTTACGTGGGATTATCAGCTGGGATTTATCGTGCTGTTGTAGAGAGTGGGCAACGCCTGCCTGCCAATCGTGAGTTTTGGTCCTGTACGAATATTTTTTTTTGTGCAAGGATATTTTGTCGGAAGTATCCGGCGGCAGATTGTCCATTCAACACGCGGCACCTTCTTGTGGCATTTCTTCACTACGCAATGCGCATAGTGGTCGACCTTTTTTCAGTTGCATCATTTTGTGGGTGGCGTTCGCTCTGTTCCCGGAGTATTTGTAACGTTGATGAAGTGGATGTTTTCGTCGAAGAGGCTTTCGTGCCGTCAAATATCACACTATCCTCCTCGGTGCTACCTCCATGGAATGCGTCTCCCACGTGATGAAACTACGACGGCACGTATCGGACAGCGATGAACCTATTACCACCGAACATTCCGAGTGATGCATTTACCATAGCGCATGCATCTCACGCGCGATGAAACTGTTTGTCCAGGAGTATCTCACCCGTGATGAAAGGTACGTGTGAACGGTGGTAGTCAATGTAGTAATGTTTCCCAACACTGCTGCCCAATGCCCCAAAAGTACAGACCGCATCAAGCGTACTCAGCCTGATATCTTGTTCTCGCCCCGACTTTGCTCAGGGGGGAGGCGGTGCAGGTAACGCGGAAGAGGCGCAGATATCTATCACCGGGGGTGGGTTCACAAGTGTTGACGCCTCGCCGGCCGCCTCCCTCACCTATGTTCCTTCCCCACGCTCATGCCTGATGATTTGTTGGCGTTTCTCGACGGAAACAGACGACCCACGCCCCGCCACAACCTCTCGTTCAACATCGGCCGTGCCCATGGGGGTCCCGTAAATCGACAATTCCAACTGGCAAGGGCCCCGCTGGTGGAGAGGGAATCAATTTGTAGATAGGAAGGCTTTCCGTGTGTCAGTCGCGGGGTCGCTGAGGAAGCTGCGGGCACTGTTGTAGATATCCTGGTTTTTCTGTCGCAAAAACACGGGGGCTTCTCTTGCAATGAATTCATGTAGTACAACGTCTGGTGGTTAACGACTTCGTGCAGTACAACCTCTTGGGGTTGTTAAACCAACGGGGGGTTTTCTCTTGCCTTTGCTTCATGCAGCAGTACGTGTCTGGTGGTTATTACAACAACAGGGTTTCCCTTGGATTAACTTCATACAATACAAGTTTGGTGATAAGTACCATAACACACACACATACGTAGGACGGGGGTGGTAGGGGATCAGGCATACCACGCTCCTGGGGTTAGGATAATACAAACCGGGCGTCTAAGAGCGCGCTAGGCAGCCCAAGTCTGCGTTGCTCTCTGAGTGAGTGAGTGATGTGCAATATCCCCCGAAAAGGGTGGTTGTGGTATCATTTTCGTTCAGCCGAGTACTGAGGGCGGGGCTCCGTCGACTTAGGGTGGCCACGTCTGTGCACCGTCGCAGCCTCTGTACCATAGCGTAAGGAGGCGTTCGTTCCGTTATGGGAAGACCGGACTCTCGCCCTTGGAGTTAGACCGATATTGTTAGCTATTGGTAGGAAGGATTTGTTCTTTTCCGTCTAGAATGGGAGAGATGTCGGGCCCTCTCGGCTTTGTGTGAAAAAAATTCTGAACGCCCACGTTCGGATCGTCTCTTTATTCATGGGTTGAGGGGTTTCTACAACCCTCAATTGAGATATTATTAGGTTCTCGCCGTCGGGGGTGAGGGCTAACGGTTCTGTTGTGGCTCGGGGGGATTTTTGAGAGATGTATGGGGTTGCTCTCTCACTCCCGGGTGAGAGCATAACGCAGCGGTCCGGCTGGTGTCCGTCTCAGTTGTCTGAGCTGGGAAACGAGGAACTTTGGTTCTCGCGTGAAAACATCACATGATTTCACGATTTCGACGGACTGCTTTTCAAGTATTATCACCGTGTTCAGCGCGTGTTTCAACGTTTTTTTTTCATTCGGAGCATGTCTCGCGCCTTCAGCGCACAGATTTGGTTTTCTTGGTCCCGGGTGTAGCTTCTCCTTCTACATCGGTGTCTTGATCGGACTTCAATTGAATCGTTATTCATATGTTTCCGCTCCTGCGGTACTTGCGGCAGGATTCTTCTGACCTACATCGTCTACTAACGTAAGATATTGCCGCTAGCTGCCGCTTTCCTTCGAGAGACAGTTTTTGGTTGGGTTTTGTGTGCGTGTGTGCTGCTCCGTTGGATGGATAAGCCCCCCCCCGTCATATCACGACGGTCCTGCTGCCCGCAACGGCAAATACAAGTGGGGGGCATCGCGGAGTGCAGTAGTGGTGGTGTGCCGTGGTATTCCCGCCCTTCCGGCGAATGACACTTTTAGTCCTTTTGCTCGTGCGCGTCGTGGAGCGTCTTTCATTCAGTCATGCTGTCGGAGAAGCGGTCGGGATATAGGTCCAAATTGAGGATGCGCGAGCAGCTCGGGGCCTCGGGTATTACTGAGCTGGGTATGTAGAGGAAGCTCCTTTTGTCGTGCGCTTTTTGCGTGACCTGGCCAGTATTTTCATGCAGTCAATTATGTGGGCGGTTGGTTCTAGGGTAGGTCCAGATCGAGGATGCGTTAGTAGCTCGGGGCCTTGGGTGTTACTGGGCTCGACAGTAAGCAGACAGTGCTCCATTTTCGTGCGTGTTAACGCCGTCATTCAGCCGGCATTTTGATTCAATCAATTATATGGGGAAAGCGATTGGTTCCAGGGTAGGTCCAGACCGAATGCGATATTTAGTAGCTCGGGGCCTACACTGTAGGGGCTGGATAGTAAGCAAACACACCTTCAGTTTTTTCGTGCGTGTTCACGCCGTCGTTCAGCCGGCATTTTCGTCCAATCAATTATGTGGGAAAAGCGGTTGGTTTTAGGGTAGGTCCAGACCGAATGCAATATTTAGTGGCTCGGGGCCTCGAGTGTAGGGGCTGGATAGTAAGCAGGCCGCCCTTCATTCTTGGTGCGTCATTCAGCCAGCATCGGCCTTCGATCTTGCTGTGGGAATGGTGGTTGGTTCTAAGGTAGGTCCAGATAGAGGATGCGTTAGCAGCTCGCGGCCTCAAAGTGGTGCGTTGGTATGTAGCGGCCTGGGGAGTAAGCGGAGTAAGCGTCGGGGAAGAATCCACAGATTCAATGACGTGCCCTTTGGCCTCCCCAACTGCCGTGTGAGTGTTGTTTTCAGGTCTTGTTGCGGATTCGTTAGTAGACAATGGTTTACAGATACTTCGTTTGTACTCTACGGTGCAATCGGAATGTTTGCCACATGGTATCGTTGCATGCGGGAAGGTCATTGAGGAGTTAAGTTATTGGGTGGACCCATCGTGGTACAATATGTAGCTTTCGTAAAACGCCTCTTTCGTTGGTTTTCTCAATGGGCCCGTGGCGGTTTTATTACGGGTCAGTTGTCGTGGGATTTTGGAGTGGTGTAGTTGAAGAACTGGCACGGAATGCCTCAATGAAGATGGCCAACTTTATTATCCCCTCTTTCATGACGAATGCGGGATTCTTAAACAACATGGGTAAAAGGTTCGACCGCAGGCAGTAGCTAAACGACAGGGTCAAAGTCAAAGCCTTCACGCCCACACAAATCCATGTGCGTGCCATAACGGTCTCAATAGGCAGTGAACCCAGTGAGCAGGTGCCCAGTTTTGCACCCTACCCAAAAATCAATACTGCCGATCCCACCTAGAACATACGAAAAACGAGGCTCTTGGGAAATCAGAGATTTTCAAAGGTACGACTCCGCCCGTCGGTTCCTGTACAACGTCGGCCCGCTCATCCGGGAAAAATGAATAAACGGATGAGATCCTTTCGCAACATGGCCTAGCTAGCGTAGCGCGGCCCAGAGATCAAAACAGACCATCATATCAGTTGCAGGCAGGAATAACCAAGACAATGCTCGGCAGAAGCAGTTGGAGCCATGGCGAGCGGGGACGGCGGAGGTTTAGTATATGTAGTATCCTTCTGCCTCACGAAGCCTTATGTACATGTAGACAAGTTCTAGTGAGTGAAATTCCGAGCCACGAAAAAAGCCAATAATGAGATGCCCTGTACAATTTCTGCGTGTGGCCGAAGGGGGGCACACTGCCGGAACACATAGTCTAGGTACACAATGTACAGCACCCGAGAGGGCCTATGCAGAGAGATATCGGCTATTATGATGGAGAGGACAAGCGAACTGTGCACCATGTACCATGGTTGGTTGCTCCGTCCAAGTCATCCTGGCTTATCAGAAATCAGCGCTACACTGCTGACCAACAGGAAGACTGCGATTTAGGAAGAGGCCGGATGAATGGCGTCCATTCCGTGGGCCCGTCCAAAGAATTTCGGGCCAATCACGAATCAGCGGCACCCCAACCTTTGCAAATGAGACAACAGCGGGCACAGCAGTACTTGACAGCCAAGCAATTGTTGAGTGAATTATTTCAGTCATCATGTCGTCAGTCCTGTGCTCGAAAAAAACACATGTATTGTCGACGCGAAGCACGCAGCAGTGATGTCACGATCATGGCCATGCTTCAGGTTGACGACCCCCGCATAGACTAGGCCACGGAAAACAACTGGACAATCAGGATTCGACGGCCGCGGCGCAACTGCTGTAGTGGCCAATAGAAGAAACGGGGGCAGTGAAGCACACGGGCCGCTTCCAGGCATGTGTGAACCAATGCCCTCCGCTGATCGCAAGCAACACTACGGTCGAAATGTCTTTGCAAAAAAAGAAGACTGTTTTGCTAACACAAAAGGCAAAACATTGTGGTTCTTACGAAGAGAAAACGTTCTCTTGTTCTTAAAAGAAAAAAGAAGACGAATCAACTCTTTTCACGGAGAAATTACTTCCACGAAGAATCTCTTTCCACAGAGAAGGGAGAAAACCCCACAGGTCCAAGACAAAAAAAAATAATTGCAACGAGTTCATAGTCCTGCAATGCGCAGAGCGCGCTCGATTTTGGCGAGAGAAGGCCCACACCAGCCTTCGGACGTCGCAATTTTTGGGGAAAAAAAAAAAATGCACCCGAACGCATGACCCAGCGAATGAAAGACCAACTGCTTCCTGAACAGGGCGAGAAATAGTTAACTTGGCATGCCTTCGAACACCCAGCCAATGTAAGAGCAACTGCTTCCCTGAACAGGGCGAGAAAATAGAAATATGGAAAAACGGGCACCGCGATAGGATTATGACACATCCGGCACTATGTAAGACAACTCAGCAGTCAGAAATCGCAATCAATTATGTAGCAGCGTCAAAATAAAAGCACGGGAACATACATAATCGGGCCAAGCCAAGGTGCCAGTTATGCCACAAAGACAAAGAGAACCACAACGCCCTCGAAAACATTCCTTCCCACCATGTTACAATTCATGTCGTATCGCTCCGTGGTCCACTACCAGCACACAAAATTTTGAACACTTCCAGCACCAACCGCAACAACAGCGAAAAACCGAGACGCAAACAACACTCACCATGCCCAGGTATTGGCAGAAAACTGAACCTTGACTTATGACAAACTGCATGCTATTTCTCAGGAAACGGCATGTTCATTTCTCATCTACATGTATATTTCTCAGAAGCCGCATGGTCGTTTCAGCCGCATTTTCATTTTCTCACAAACTGCATCTTCGTTTCTCAGAAACTGCATTTTCGTTTCTCAGAAACTGCATTTTCGTTTCTCAGAAACTGCATTTTCCACACAGTAAGATTCCAAACCCGAATGAATGCATTGCTCGTTCGTGCTCCTCCAGCGAAGAGACAGACATTCACAGTGCCCGGGCGTTGTCCACTTCCTCTGTCGGCGAAGAGCATGCCGCCAGTAGCACACGTTGTCCGTATTTCCATAGCCCGTGGTCCCGGCAACACTACCGATTACGACTCAAGAAAACACACCCCCTGGACCGATTTCCAAAACTCGATTACGCCACGGCGAAGATGATGCATGAACGAAACAACACGTTTTCGGAGAGCCCTCGACCACACGGCTTCAACGCCGCCGTTTCGGGCGCTGGGACTCTTTCTGCTGTTGATAAATCGAGCTTTGAAAATCGGTCCAGGGCGGGGTACTATCTTGTGTCTTGTACGGTACATTAATCACGACTCGTTGCCTCTACCCACGCCCCCGACTAGCATCGGTTTTCTGAACAACGCCATCCACTTGCCGGAGACAGTTGGTCATGGAAAGTTAGCCGCTTCAACCAGGCATGGACAGCTGCTATCCCCGTATCAAAACACCCTCCTTGATATTTACCACCCCAGAATGCAACAGCACCCCGCTCAAAGTGGTTATAGTGTGATCACCCAGCAGGGTGCCGGTTGAAAAGCGTCGGCGTTTTCGGCGGAAACATCGATCATGACAATTTTGCCGGTTACCCGGCCGGTACACCGTAGATCAAATATACTTCAGATACCCCACGCCCCTTTGGACCGATTTTCGAAGCTCGAACAACTACTACGCAGCAAATAAAACGCGGTGATGTGCCTGAAAATGTTGGCGTTGGAGCCATCTCGTCGAGGGGCTTTCCGAAAACGTTTCATTCAGTCTTGGCGTCATCTTATTTGTAGTCGGGGAGCAATCGAGCCTTCAAACTCGGCCCAAAGGCGGTGGTGCTACCTTACGTACGAGATCTACGGGAATTCCGTAGTGCCCGGTGTGTTAGGCGGGAACGTACGGTCACTGCTGAAAAGCATTGTCGTACGCCAGTCAAAATCCATTATTCCGTCACTGCTGAAAAGCATTACGGTACACCAGGCAAAATCCATTTCGGGAAGCGAGGCCCCTGGCGCAGTCGATCCAGAGGTAGATCCGCCGCCAATCGAAAAGCAGTTCCGCCACCTATCGAACTGCAGTTCCGCCGCCTCTCGAACAGCAGTTCCGCCGCCAAACGAACAGCTTCACCGCCTGTCGATCACTCCCGTCGCCTATCGAACGGAAGCAGTTCCGCCGCCTATCGAGCAATCTGGCCGCCTATCGCACAGTCTGGCCGCCTATCGAACAGCAGTTCCGCCGCCTATCGACTAGTCTCGCCGCCTGGCAAGGACGGGGCCGTCACAGAGTTCCCCTCCTCCATGCTGCTCTCCACCCCCACCGCCCCTCCCGCTGGTGCCCCAGCCGCCCCCGCTGCTGCTGCTGCTGCTGCTGCTTCGTTACCCTTAGCGGCCGCCTCTTCCTCTTGTTGCCTCACTCTTCGCGACTGAGACTCGCTATCCCCCCCCCCGTTGCCCTGCTGTTGACCGTTGAAAGAACCGTTGCTCCGGTATCCAGCTTCGGGGTCGTCGACGTCGTACTCGCCGCCGGTGCTGCTGACGTCATCGTCGCCTTGGCCCTGGGATGACGGGGAAGGTTCCGATCTGAACCGGCACCAGTGGGGCCGCAGGGCGGCGGTAAGCGGAGCGGGTTGGGGGGAGAGGAACAAACGTGCGCGCGCGCGGTGAAAAGATGTGTAGCTGACTGTGGTCATTGGTTATGGACTGTTCAGAAGTGAAAATAATAAATTGAAAACATGTAAGATGCGGTTTCAAAACTAATTCAAATACATGTATAGACTCGTTCAGACTCAAAAAGGGAACAGCGTTTAAGGCCATCGTTCTGGGGATCATTCCTGACAATCTCGCCAGAACCCACGATAAGGAAAACGAAAGTATAAATCCAATATGTTTCATGCAAGTTTTGTCTTTTCTTGTTTTCGTCCTATTGATTACGGCCCAATAATATAAACAAATTTACGGGTACAGCCTCTCCGGTGGCATCGTAGGCATGACAACGAACGGAAGTTTTAGATCGTGTTTCTTTCACATTTGGGTTGGCACGTGAGACAAAGATCTGTTTCACCATCGGTTGGTTTCGTTGGTGGCAAAAAAAAAAACAAAAAACGCACATTATACTCTTCCATGTCACTGCGGGGTGTGTATGTGTGATCCCAAGAGCCGACCGCACACATTTGTGCTGTTTCTGGAGGAAAAGAAAAAAAAAGGAAAGAACAAGTCAAATTTTATCGGTATATCGATATGCTGTACGGGCCGAAAGAAAATGAAAAAATAAGCTGTTTCTACATCAAAAACTAAATGCTCCTGATTTTTTCAAGACCAGGCGCCGAGAGGGCACCGAAAAAAACACACAAAAAAGTAACTAACCAAGTCAATCCTCACCTGTGAAAGAAAATCTCGTGCGTATGCCAGTAGGCCTGCTGCGTGCTGTCCTCGAGGATCAACCTGATGTAGTAGCGCACCCCCACGAGCTCGGCCTCGTCGTTGACCGCTGCGATGTCCTGGGATTTTTCGACATATGGACACATAGGGGGCAAGGGGAAGATATGTCGCTTGCTTGAGTCGTTGTTGATACCTGCTGCTGCTGCTGCTGCTGCTGCTCAGCTATTGGGCGTTACAGCATGTCGCCTACAAAACAAATGCATCGTGGCAGCTACCGATTTTCGGGCTTCGCAACGTGCAACATTATAATACAACACCGTCTACTCTATTCGCAAAACGGGGAAAAACACAGCACAACCACAAGAAAAACGTATCATAATACCTGCGTGAGAGACATGTGAGACGGCGTGAGTGGGAAGGCATGAAGAGGGACGTCCACCACGATGTCCACATCGCCCAACACAGCCTCCATTCGACACTCCTCTCCCTGCAAGCGGCACGTTCGAGGCGCGGGGGGGGGGGGGGGTCTCAGCACTGCATTCAAACAACGGCAGAGAAATAACTCCATGGCGTCTCCCATGTGCATATTATTCCCTTGTACAAAATATTAAGGGTCGCGAGAGGCGACCCGCGAGCGTTGGAAGGGGGGGTACCGTGGGTAAAAAATGAGAGGTAAAACATGGGTAGGAAAGGGGGCATCGTTGATAGAAATGGGGGCCTCGTGGGTAGCACGGGGGCACCGCGGGAATGTATGGAGCACCGCGGGTATATATAGGGGCACCGTGGGGCATCGTGGGTAAATAAGGGGGCATTGCCGGTAGTAAACGGCACCGTGGGAATAAAATGGGGCACCGTCAGTAGAAAAAATGGGCCACCGAGGCAGAAAAAGCGAAAGAACGCACATAGCAGCCATAGCAAAAGAGTCTCGTGAAGCACGACATGCTCCGTCGTCCTCAAACGTAAGCTATATATGGAGAGCAAGAGGCAACGCACGAAAAAAAATGTGTCCCGACCCCACGAGCTACCAGATTTATTGCACCGAAAAAAAGCACGTGCATCTCCAAGCTTGGCATCAGCAGTTGTAAACTCCAAAACTTCACCAATCTTCACTTGGCCGAACAATACCTAGCGCATAATCTACGTTGTGCCCATCTTGTGTCAATAGAGTACTCTAACGAGAAATCAAATCCATTCCCTTGGCAACAAACAAACAAACAAAAAATGACGAGAGGAATGCAAAATGACAACCGCAGCCGCGGGGGCGGGGAGCCTTTGTTAGAAGGGCGTGCCACTTTTGCTATGCATACAAGTCGTATCATACCTGTGATCGGACGAAGTGAATGTCCTTCTGCTCCACGTAGGGGGACATGAACTGACGTCGGACCTGCTCTTCCTCGCTCAATCCCACAGCTGACAACGGGTCCTGCCAGTGACAAAAAAACAAAACAAAAAACACAAACACATGTAAATAAGTACCGTTTCTTCTGTCATAACTGACGTCGGACGTGCTCTTCCTCGCTCAATCCCACAGCTGACAACGGGTCCTGCCAGTGACAAAAAAACAGAAAAAAAGGAGAAAAAAAACACACACATTGTAAACGATGCGGTTTCCTTCTGTTAATGCGACGGAATCTCTCTCAAATCCGGAGGGTAGTGTAGACTCTCCGATGACGCTCGGTCCCAGGTTGTGGCATTTAGCAGTGTTATGTGTTTTCAACCGCTTTGAGACTGGCGTCTTTTCATTGGTCAGCCCGGTTGCGTGGTCGATGCTTATACCAAACATAAACTCACTCACACAGGGAGAAAGGAGACAAGGTAAGCACATTGGAAGGCCAGGCTCTCAAGCACAAGGGATCCTATCAAAAACAAAAAAAGAGACGGATGATGTAAGCATACGGTCAGGCTGGAGCACAAAGACCCACAACACATACACAGCGAGAAAGAAGTGGAAACAGTGTACCACAGCAGGGTAGGGCTCGAGCACACAAGGGACCCCTTGATAAAAAATACCGTATGACACAAGATAACACACCCCATTGACCGATTTTCAAAGCCCGATTTCTCAACAGCAGGAAGAGTCACAGCGCCGAAAACGGCGGCGTTGGAACCGTCTGGTCGAGAGCTCTCTGAAGATGTGTCGGTTCGTTTATGCATCCTCTTCGTCGTGGAGTGATCGAGCTTTGAAGATCGGTCTCGGGGATGTGTTATCTTGTGTCATATGCAGTAGCCTTCGCAAGGTTTTTCATACAGTACGTGGCGCGATACAGTGGCATGTAGGGGCAAGAGGAGAATATGGCAATATTAAGGGCAGGGCCACTTTCGATATATGCACGCACATATATCGGGTTCATGTATCATACCACATGTTGAGATTGTGACAAGAGAGATTTTGATGCCACTGCTATATCGCGAGTTCCACCACTATTCAAGCTGCCACGATATCGGGCCACCTACTCTAAAGCAAATATATTGGATAAGGCACACAATCGGGGAAGTTGGGTTAAGGAATAAAGTTCGCGTCCCCCGTTCCTGTTCTATTTCCTCATAAACTTATTAATCTCGCGGGAAACGGGGACATACGAGGGTTGGGCCAAAAAACAAGGTACAGTACCCTGCCCAAAAGGGGGGGGGAACCGCCTTTCAAAGCGCTCTCTCGAGGCGAGACGAGACCCTTCGGAGCTCAGGCACAGCTGGGTGGTCGTCACTCAGACCTCATTGCGATAGCCAAGCATGCATGAAGACAAGAGCGGTAGTGACCAAGGCGGTCGGCCATCGTACATCGGACCCCCCTCTTGTACCGGAGAAAGAGGGTACGCAACTACAGAACAGTGGGGGCTACGGTTTGTAAGAGAGGGTCGTGACAAGCCAGTATTTCTCTGTTAATTCCGGTTTTCTCTTAAACCGTACTGTGAAATGTATGTATTTCTCATGGTCATGACATATTTCTCATGGTCGTGAAGATCCAGTTTCTCTTAATTAGTCTCTCTCTTAAACCGTAGCCGCCACTGTGAACAATAGCGAGCCAAGTCCTTGAAAACCCATTTCGACCCCCTCATTCGCTTACGAGGTCGAAGGTGTACGCTCTGGTATCGGAGCCACGACTGTGATCAGTTGAAGAGCTCTCTACCGAAGCCAGGTGTTCGTCCTGGCCTCACTACGAGAACATAGCTGTTCGTCTTGGCCTCACTACGAGAACATAGCTGTTCGTCCTGGCCTCACTACGAGAACATAGGTACTCAGTTGCAAAGATCACCAAAGCGCAGCCGGCTGTTTACGCCATCCTGACCTCGTGTGAAGACAGGAAGGGGACTCGGAGAGCTCAATAACAACCGCAACCTTAACGCTGACCCTAATCCTTAACACTGGCCTCAATACGGTGTTTACTTCTGTGGAACATTGTCGCCAAGACGACCACAACAACAAAAAACGGGCATGGTTCCTAACTCTTGCAGAAGGATCTTCAGCATATCAGATGATGGCGTGAATTGGTGGTACGGCTCCCAAAACAACACAGCTGCAACACAGCTGCAACACCAGTTACACCCCTTGCATACATACTACGCTGTTTCATTTGCTCCGCTAGTCAAGGGCGCGTGCAGATGAGAAGGGATAACACACAGTTGCAAAGCTCCAAGCACAGCCGGGTGGTTAGTCGACCTGACCTTTTCCTTTCTGCACTCTCCGAGGATGGTGTGTTCGGCCACCAGCACCTCTGACGCCTCCCCGTACATGAACTCCGCCCGAAGCAGCATCACCTGAAAAACCAATAAAGAAAAACAAAGAAAAAAAAACGGCCATCTTTTGGAGCTGCGGAAAACCGGTTTTTGGAAGGTGAACAAATTTCTTGGGCAAATCTTGCTGTTGGACACTACAGCCATGCAAGCTCGCCTGAACAAAAAAAAAGAAAAGTCGTGTGGCAGCGTAGCGGAAAGCCGTTTTTCGAAGGTGCACTTCTTTGACAAGCTTTGCTGTTGGACACTACAGCCATGCATACATCGCCTGAACAAAAAAATAAATTAAAGAAACAGTTTCGCAGCGAGACGGAAAACTTCTTTTCGACGCACTTCCAGACAAATCTTGCTGTTGGACACTCTATGGTCACGCATGCATCGCCTGCAGAAAACCGGGGGAAGACGTGGGCTTAGATTAGAGCATGAACTACTCTTCGATCAAGACAAGGGGTGTGATGTCTTGCGTATGCGACTTGCTGTTAGAACATGTCATCTCACGTGCGCTGCGACGATGGGCGAAGTGACATCCGTGAACCGGACGGTTCCTTGGAGGACATCGCCGAGGTTGAAGCTGTCCACTCCGAAATCCTGCACGAAAGACAAAGAAGAACGAAAAAAATACATACGATATGGGACAAGCGATCAAAGAAATATATCAGTTGTCCACGAACATGAAAAAGATAAAAGACAAGTGAAAGCGTCCAAAATCCTGCTCGAAAGGGAAAGAAAGAAAAACGAAAAAAAGAAAAGAAAAAGAGCAAAAAATTGCACACGGAACATTATTACAAGCTGTTCACTCCGAAATTCTGGACGAATGAGAGAGAAAAAAAACGTACCGGAAAAGCGAAAAAAAACAAAAAAAATGTCCACGAACACGAAAGAGATAAACAAGAAAACATGAAAAACAGAGCACAGTACCCGCGTGAGGGTGACTCTAAGCAGGAAGGTTTGCATCAACCGCATTATGTAGTGTAGTTTAAATGCATGCACTCACGAAAATCACAGGGACGTTGCGGTCGAGATGACAGAGGACGCGGCTAGACCCTCTACCCCCCTCCCTTCTCCAATACGCCAAGCAAAACAATCAAAACCAAGTATGTAGCTGTGCACACGACCGTTTATTTTTTCTCGACGCCATAGTCCATGCTTGCACTCACAGCGACTGTTGCAATCGAGATGACTACAATATAGGACGTGGCTAGGCCCTCTACCCCCTCCCAATACGCCAAGCAAAAACAATCAAAAGCAAAGCGCATAGCTGTGCACACGAACGGTTATTATTTCTCGACGCCGTAGTCAGTGCAGGCACTCACGAAGTCGCAGCCACCGTTGCAATCGGAGATGACCAGAGGACGTGGCTAGACCCTCTACCCCCTCCCTTGTCCAATACGCCAAGCAACCAAACAAATCAAAACAAAGTACAGAGCTGTGCACACGAACGTTCATTATTTCTCGACGCCATACAAAAGTCAGTATGCAGGCACTCACGAAATCGCAGCGACCGTTGCAATCGGAGATGACAAGGACGTGATTGGGCCCCCCTTCCTCGTTCTCCTGGCCGGCATCCTCGTCAGGGGCACTCGACAAGTACTCCATCGCCAGAGGGAGCTGCGGAAAGGGTGTTAACGGTGGCGTTGGATAAGGGATAGGGGTAGTCACTTACGTTAGACGCCGCACGGAATATTCCCCACGTTCAACGGTGGGTGGGATCGATGGACGGGTTTGCCTCAATAGAGGTGATGTCATATCCAATACGGTGTTTGACGACAAGTACTCCATCGCCAGGGGGATCTGCGGATAGGGAGTTAAGGGTGGGGTTGGTTAAGGGGCAGGGGTAGTCACATACGATAGACGAATGGAATGTGACCCGCGTGTAACCGTGGGTATGGTCGATTGACGGGGTTGCTTCAATACAGGTGGTATCATATCCAATACGGTGTTTGTGAACTACTCCATCGCCAGGGGGATCTGCGGATAGCAACGTGTACCCGTTGGGGGTAGTGTCGATTGACGGGTTTGGGCTGTAGACAAAAACACTCCAACGACGGGAGAGGATCTGCGGCCAGGGGTTGGCCAGAGTTAGACGAGTGGAACAGGCCCCAGGTGTAACCGTCGGGGGGTAAGAGTTTACTGAACGGGATGCTACCATGGAGGTGATGTCGTGCTCTACACAACTGAACGGGATGCTACAAAGGAGGTGAATCACCGTGCTCTGCACAACTGAACGGGATGCTACGAAAGAGGTGATGCGCTGCTTTCGACAACTGAGCGGGATGCTACAAAGGAGGTGAATCACAGTGCTTTAGGTGAGAACTCCAATGCCCTGGAATCTGCGGATGGCAACGTGTAGCGGTTGGGGGCAGGATCGATTGACGGGTTCGAGTTGTTGCTACAGCAGGTCCTAGACACAGCACTCCGTCGCCAGGATAGGGTAAGGATAAGGGTTAGGGTTCGGGTTAGGGTTAAAGGGGTAGGCATGGGGTAGGGGTCAGGATGCAACGGGCTGGTGTGGGGTAGGTTAAGGGGATCTGCCCCAAGGAGGAACTTAGAACGTGCTCAAGGAGGAACGGCAGCAGCTGCAGCAGCCGCAAGCAGCAACAGCTGCAGAACAGCAACGACAAAAAGAGCAGCAGCAGCAGCAGACCCAGCAACAGCGGCAAACAGCAAACAGCAAGCAACACCACCAACAACAATACCAACAACACCACCAACAACAATACCACCACCACCAACAACAACAACAACAACAACAACAATACCAACAACAACAACAACAACAACGTCACGGCTAGAGTCAAGCCAGCCAACCGTACCTGCGAGTAGACGTTGAACGTATACCACGGTCTCTGAGCCGACACCATAAGTCTATGCCTCAGCGCCATAAGATCCCCCACGTACGTCTCTCGCACCGGCCACCTTCGGTGTCCGTCTAGGAGACCGAGGTCCAGGTTGAAGCTGAACACAGCCTTGTCGCTGCAACGGAGCACAAAAACAGGACCGAGGGGGGGGCTGGGGGGTGTAAACAGGAGGGGTACTAAAATAATTTTACACAGGTATGTACTTCATTGATCAGGGGGTTACGAAGCAGATCAAGGAGACCGAGATCGTTAGATCGAGGAGACCGAGATCCAGGTTGAAGCTAAAACACGGCTTTGTCTCTGCACCGGAGAACATAAACAAGATCGGGGGGTGGGGGGGTGTAAACAGGAGGTGTATTGAAACCAACTGACCGGAGACCGGAACGGTTTTCAATGTGTAGACAACAACAACCCGACAACAACAACAACAAGTTTGTGGTAGGTTCTTTTTCGCTCACTTGATGAATTGACCCGTCGCTACTTGCGCCTCCAAGGCTCCCACAAGCTCCCCGGTATCGCTGTCCACCGTCATCAGGTGCTCCTCAAAAGTCACCGTTATACCGGACATCCATACCTGGGATAACCGGAAAAAACCGCGACGAGCAGAACAAAAACGGGGCACAATTGTGAGCACCAACGCCCGCGGGAAAAACCCGCCAGTCGTCCAACACCCATGGGAAAACTCGCGAAATATCGAACACCCGCGGGAAAAATTCATTCACCGTGTGCATCCCTGACAAAATATCCGCAAAAGGTGAAACATCCAACCAACACTCACAGACCAACCATACCTGTATCGGAATTCGAACCCGGGGTTACTACCGTAGGCACTTTCCGTATCATCGTGAGCCAACCAAGCACCGCTACTGCTGCTGTACCATGGTATACCGCAAGGATGTGAGAGAACGCACGGGGGTGTCAATGTTATTCTTAGCGCGATTTCTCCACCACTAGGATGGGTATCGCTGTCGACAGGGGTGGTTTTGGAAACACATCACGTCGAGGGCTTTCCTGAGAGGTATCAGTTGGTGTTCGCACGCTCCTGGTTGTCGAGCAATCAAGCGTTGAAAAACGCTAGGACTCCATTGCTTTCTCTCGCATCCTTACGACAGGTCGAGATGCCGCGCGACAAAAAAGCTTACCCTTTTCGAGGTGGGCGCCGTAACGGTGACAGTTCCCGTGATGTTCTCCGACGTATCAAGCAACGGACAGTGCCGTTGGAAAACGTTTCGTGGCACCAGGGAAAGCGACAGCGTGTCCATCCATGTTCGGTCCGAGTCTACCTCGACGGATATCTGCAGCGCAGACAGCCAGACAGGACGAGAGAGAAAACAAAGAAAGAAAGGGAGAGAGAGAGAGAGACGAGAGACAGACAGACAGACAGATAGACAGACAGACGGACAGACAGACGCAGAGAGAGACAGAGAAGAAAGAAAGGGAGAGAGAACGAAGAAAGAAACGGAGAGAGAGGGGGGGGGAGACAGAGAGACAGAGAGACAGAGAGGCAGAGAGACAGAGACAGAGACGACTTAGAAGCAGGGTGGATGACAAGTACGCCACGCGCAAAACATCCTCAGTCTAGGACAAGGAAACTCGCACCCGCCGTACGGAGGACCGGCAATTTGCTTCACGTTCCGACAAAAAAAATAATCCTGGTACAGTAGGGGGCGCGGGTTAGCGACCCCCTGTTTAGCGACACGTGCTGTTAGCGACATGCCCTGTTGAGCGACATCCCCTGTTTAGCGACATGTCCTGTTGAGCGACGTGCCCTGTTTAGGGACATGCCCTGTTTAGCGACGTGCCTTGTTTAGCGACACGCCCTGTGTAGCGACCACACCACGACGGCATCGCCACACGGCGGTAGCATAACAGCTACTTATATCATTGGTACAGTTCGGTTTAGCGACCTGCCCTGAATAGCGGCCACCTTTCGTCGTGACACTAGGCGTCGCTAAACCGCCCCCCTCCCACTGTAAATACCCCATGCCGGTGTTCGCGTGCTGTGGACACATCCAATACAGCAGTGGAGGTCCCCGTTTAGTGCCGGTTCAATAGTGCCAGTGCCCGGCATGGTGCCCGTGTTTTCGGCGGGCATACATTGAATTTCCACGTCATTGTCAGTACTTTGAATACTACCGGTCCGGTAAAGTACCCGTGTTTTCGGCGGGCATACACTGAATTTCGACGTGATTGTCAGTACTTTGAATACTGCCGGTCCGGTAAAGTACCCGTGGTTTCGGCGGGCATACACTGAATTTCCACGGCATTGTCAGTACTTTGAATACTGCCGGTCCGGTATAGTACCCGTGTTTTCGGCGGGCATACACTGAATTTCCACGACATTTGTCAGTACTTTGAATACTGCCGGTCCGGTAGTGCCGTGAATAGTCTGGGCACATATACCGGCACTAACCCGGGACCCCCTCCGTTGTCAAGGAATAGTGGCTAATAGTCGGGGTGCAGTAGTGGCGCCACGCGATCTTGAGGCCGTTTGTAAGCAGGGCATGCCTGCATTTGTTCCTGTTCGTTCATGTTCGGGGATCACCCAACACCCACACGAAAAACCGTGAAACGTCGAGAACCCATGGGAAACCCGCGATATATCAAACACCCACGGGCAAAAACCCGTGAAACAACGTCCAAAACTCAAGGACCGCACGAAAAACCGTAAAACATCGAGATCCCATGGGAAAACCCCGTGAAATATCACACACACATGGGGAAGAACCCGTGAAACGTCGAGAATCCATGGGAAAAACCGTGAAATATCGAACACCTACGGGGAAGAACCTATGAAACAGCATCTAAAACTCACGGATTGTGCAGACTGAACTGAACGCCCGCCTTATCGAGGACCGACATCTTGGTTTCACGTGCTGCCCAATAACCCAATCCTCAAACGTCTCTGCCCGCACCTTGAAGACATCGTTGAACCATCCCGGGCCGCCGAGGTTAACCTTATCGAGGTTGCAGATGTAGTTGTACGGCCTCTCGTCCTCCCCCACGCCGTCCATCGGATTCCCCATCATGCCTGCCGCGTAAGGAACAAAAACGACCAGTATTTTATCAATCCTGATTTGAACTGTTGGTCAGTCCTCAGAAGGCAACCACTTTAAACAAAAATGACGACACCAGGTCAACAACCAGCAGCGGCAGCAACCCCAACGCCAACAAAAGCAACAACGGGAACCACCACGGCACCGACACCGACAACAACATCAACGCCAATAACAACAACAACAACACCACCAACAACAACAACAACAAAACCAACACCAACAACACCAATAACGCAACCAACATCCACTGCACGACACCAGCAAACACCAACCAACCACTTCGAAACAACAACAACACTAACAAGAGCAACATCACCGAAAAAACACCTGCTCACCTTCAGGGGGACGTTGTCGGACCCCCTATTATCGTTCCGAACAGCAATGACGCCATGGCCATCGCCAGCCCAATTCCAACGGTCGCCAAATCAACACCACAAGCATCGTCGGCACCATCGGCAGCAACCAACGAAAAACATGAGCAGCAGCAGCAGCATGAGAACAAATATGCATAGGAGCAGGGGTTTCAGCAGCACAGGGAACAAACACAGAGGAAAAGCACGCACACAAGCAGCAGCACTAGCAGCAGCATGAGAACAAACAGCAGCAGGAGTTTCAGCAACAACGGTGAAGAACAGCATGCGCAGCAGCAGCAGCAGCGGCAGCAGCGGCAGAAGGATTTCACAGCAACAATGGCGGCGGGCAAAAAAGACAACAATACATAGCAGATAGGAGCGGCAGTGGCAGCACCGAGATAAAAAACGGTCTGGAACATGAAGAAGACAGGTCGAGTGTCCTGTCTTTGCACGGCAAGTGGCATCACCATGCATGCAGAAACAGCCACATTGGGAGCCAACAACATGGGACAGAACATGACCCCGAAGCAGCAACAGCAACGACGACGACAGCGGCAACAACAATAACAACAACAGACCACCATCATCACTAACAACAACAACAACAACAACAACAACAACAACACCATCAACACCGCCGCCTCCACCCACATAACCACCACCACCACCACCATCACAAACAACACCACCACCAACAACAGCAGCAGCAAAAACCGCACACCAACGTTCTCACCCTGGGCGAAGACTTCCCTCCACCCGCCGCCTCCGCATCAGCACCAAACCCCGCACTCGCCGCCGTGCTCAAATCGCCACCTGCGGCTGTTGCGGCGGAACTACTACTGCCGTTGTTGCTTTCGTCACCTGTGACTCAAACGAATAGCGGCGGCAACAAGGGTCTGACATGAGAACACACTTCAGCAAGGCTACCGATGTCACGCATGAAACGAACATGACCACCCACGGGTGTTGTTGCTGTTCCCTGTGACTCGAAAGGAAAAGCGACGACAAAAAAGGGTGTGACATGAGAACACGCTCGGCATAACTACTGCTGAAATTCACAACATGACATGATGGAGACCATGACCACCGTTGTTGCTGTCGTCACCTGTGACTCGAAGGAATAGCGCCACGGTAACAAGGGTCTGACATGAGAACACCACGGCATAACTACTGCCGTTGCGGCGGTACTCTTAATACTACCGCTGTCGTCACTGCTGTTCCCGTCGTTGTTGTCACCAGCGACTCGAACAAATATCGACGATAACAAAGGTCTGACACGAGCCCATTCTTATCCCGCTACAAGACTCACGTCTTCCCTGGTACTGGTCGACGCACGAAAAAAAATACACAAAAACACAAAAACACAAAAACGCACCTGGCCCCTGAGGATCTTCAAGGTCCACTTCCCCCGCGATGTCGACATCCGCCAGGCCCGCCGCGCCCCCTACCGCTCCCCCCCCGCCGCCTCCGCCCGGGGCCCCTTCTCGCGATTGGGACGTCATGGCTGCGGGAGCTAATATTAGCTGTGTGGCGAAAAAGATTGAAAAAAAAAAAAAAAGCGTGCTAGGAGAACGCTCGAACAGAGAAACCACATGAGAAAAACACACAAGCAAAAAAAAATTGAGACGAGACAGGCTAATTCGGAGAACGCTCGAGCAAATAAACAAAAAAAAAAACGCTCGAGACGACACCTAAGTGTTCAGCCTGGGCTTGTTACTAGAAGACGGAATCTGACAGGTTTAAGTGGTTTGAGGTCGGCTTCTAAGAGGCTAATCAGGAGAAAAACAGCAAAATTGCACATACGGTAGCTTCAGCTGACGCTATCAATTGATTGCTATTCTGTCGTACAGAATCTACTTTGAAAAGAGATGGATTCGTTGTGTCATGTTGAACACAAAAAAAAAAATGGCCAACCAACGAGGCAGCGCCCCACTGGTGGATCCAGAGCGACGACATCAGACACACACAGAGACACACACACAGAGAGAGCACAACTACCCTCGGGCATAGGAATGGGTATTATAGTAAGTTGTGAGCCTGCCCGTAGTCAGTCAAAGTGAGCAAGCATACTGGATAAAGCACAGAATCAGCTAAGTTGGTGATAGGGTTGTACTGCTGTCTTCGTGTTTGGTATTTTCGGTATTAACCTTACTTGCTGGACAACATAAGTAGGGGTGGCAACCTTAATAAGGACACTTCCCCGACTTAGAGACACATTTTCTTAGGGAAAAAACACGTTTGTCCTTAACCGACGTTCGACTTAAGATTATGGGTAGAGTTGTTGGGGTCCGCGTGCTTGGTCTTTTTCGTAATAACCTGTGGCAGTCAGAGCCTGCCGCATCTATCCGTCGCCATGCAAATGTCTGCGCTGCAGCTGCGCTGGTGCTCTCGGGCGGTGGAATATGCTCGTCGCCAGGTACACGGTAGGTTGCATACGCAAGATACCACGCCCCCTGGACCGATTTTCATGTGATAAATTACCTCTAGTACCGTAGGTTGCATTCGCAAGATATCACGCACCCTGGACCGATTTTCATACCTCAACTACGGTAGGTTGCATACGCAACACAACACCCCCTGGACCGATTTTCATATGATACCTCTATTACCGTAGGTCACGTACGTAAGATATCACACCCCCTGGACCGATTTTCAAAGCTAGATTACTCCACGACGAAGAACATGCCGCGTTCAGATCGAAATAGACCCAAAATAAGCCCCACGTATCCAGCCGGTTTTCTTCCCTCTCACTGCTGTAAAGACTTCAACACGTCCCTGTCGACTGTGGTATTATCTCGAAAGGGTAGACTTGCTGTGAGATGATGTACTTTCTTACAGCATCTAAAAACATCTTGGACACACACCCGGAACAATTTAGGGGAGGGTAGGGGGGTGTTATTTTCCGTCACACAACGAGGCGATGAAAAATCCAGGGTCTCCGGCGCTGCAGTGTTGAGTACGATCTCATCATGCCAACGCCGGCAAACCGGTGGTATCGCTACCTTTGGGCTTGCAAACCCTGTGCCGACAAAGGCGTCGACAGCCAGCAACAGATTGTATTCGGTTGCCCCAAAGAGAACAATATAAGCTAACTGCCCATGTTTGCACAGCAAGGGAGCAGAGAGGGTGGGGTGTCAGGGCAATCATTTTTTTCGACTGGGAGAGAAGCGAAAAGCCGTTTTCCAGCTGTGTGACGCGCTGAAAAAGAGCCGTCTTATCTCGGCACATGGCGCGCACGCTCGCGCAAGCTCCTTCCGGCGATCACCAACCCTCAGGCAGAGGGATCTCATCGCAGTCGGGGACAAGTGCATCAACAGGCATCGGTGCTTGGAAACAAGCACCGGGGGTACTCAGGGTAGGAGAGGTGCTGTAAAATAGGTCAAATTTTGACGATGGTTTGAATTGGTACGAGAACCGCAGAAGGGGACGTGGCCGCAAAAGCAGCAGGTAGCCTGCCCCAACGCTCCCCGGCCTGTCTCGAAGGGACTCACCTTGTGCTGAGGGTGTGGGGCCCCTATTGTCTGTCGCTCCCTGTCTTTCTCTATCGCCCCTTTGCTCTCTGCTCGCTTGGTTTTGCAACTCGGAGATATCACACGACACTTGGGGGACCCGCAGCATGGAATTGTTTTTGGTGGGGTACCTACGTAGGATACGCTGCTGGCTGCTGCTGGGTGGGGTATAGCATACTGCGCATGGACACACCTGTTGTTCCTTCTGTGGGCTAGATATGTAGGTTTTTGTGCAGGGCTTACAAACGGTACTCAAGGTGTGGCGGAGTGCAGTGAGTTTATCGTTTGAGACCAAAGAAGGACTTACCATGTATTGCCAGCCCGGTCTCATCATCCCCACACGAATAATAATCGAGGCCAATCAATGGAGGCTGCGACTTTCTTTCGTGACAAAAAACAGGAAAGCTACTCGTCGAGAGAGTATAAGCTTTCGGCTCTGTCGCCGGCACCACACTACAGTACTGCTGTAAGTACTTACTGCTGTGTACCTTCGAGGTCCGGTGGAAGAAGATCAGATGGACGGACGGAGGACCGCATCACCGCGTCTGCAATTTTCTTTCAGACCGGCTGCAAACACATTCCATGAACGTATGTATGTTCGTTCGTCGCTGAAAAAAAGGGATTTAGACTACAGTACTGCTGTTATTTCATGACGAGACCGTTTATCGAGGCCCCACCCACATGCCGACACTAAATTGTTTGGAAGATATACCGGACCCTTTTGGTCAAACACGACGATTGAGATATATCCCCAAAAGGATCTATGTAGACTACTATCTGCGATCCATCACGAAAGAACGAAGAAACACCGTCACAACAGAGAAAGAAGTAATAATGCTGTACACTATATGCAGCAGTTAATCAGGTAGTGAACGAAAACATATTCTCCGTGTCGTCGAACATGGTGGTGGTAGACTGACTGCTGGCGGTATGGCTCTTGTCTCGTGTGATGGAGAATTAGGTTGACGAGTTTCGTGACGAGAGTGCCCGTGACAAAAGTTGGGGCGACGAGAGCGCGAGAATGGGCGGGATTCAAAGGCGAATTCGTCATCGGAACCTCGGGCAAATGAACGGAGTTTTTCTGCGGAGAATCCAACCGCCCGCTCTAAACCTCCGCCGCACAGCAGTGTTGAGACGTCTTCCCTCCCCCCCACCATAACACACAACCCATCGAACCCAGTTCTACTCACGAGACAGCAGCTACCTACCGAGTCAGGAGCCAAGAACAGACACGAAAAGCAAGGTGAGAGCTGCAGCAGCAGCTACATCAGAACGCCCTATAAGACTACCGCGAGGGTGAGGTTGCTGAAATGTTCTCTGCTTGTCGTGTGATTACGCGCGCAGTGGTTTGACGCCTTCGCGCTTGAACAACAGCACCGTGGGCAGGGTGAGGGTCTGATCCTCACGCTTCCTCGCGGGCGTTTGGTCATATGGCAGGCGGTAGGCAGGTGTCACTAGGGGCAGGCAGCATTTTGGTGTGTGGCTTTTCTCCCACGAAATGCAATGTTATTTTGTTCTGAGCGGCGGGTTTGCGCCCTGGATTCTGATTTTGGCGGTTTGCCAGGAGTCGGTCTCGCTCAGGTTCAGAGCGTCGAACGCGTGGAAGCGCTGCAGTTCCTTTCGGCCGCCCACTTTACGTTAGTAGAGGCTGTGGCGTGAGAGCTTCTGAGTACGCTTCTCGAGGGAGATAGCAACGAGAGCAGGAAGCCAGCTACTGTTTCAATCAGCGAATTCTGGATGATGAGTGATCGTAGATTCGGCGTGTGTGTGTGTGTGTGGACTCGTCCCATCCAGTTCCGCCGTACAATAATGTACAATTCCACGCCTGTCGCCATTCGTTTGACGCTTCACCAGCCGCCGGGTTCGCACATGCACCTAGGAAGCTGCGGACTTTGAATTTTGGTCATCGTTTACTCTGTAGTGCTTGATTGTTGCCTTCCGTTGATATTGAACGCTTGAATGGTCCAGCAGCTCCTCATGTTCATCCGCCTCCGATTGCAGCGGTGTATTTTTTTGCTTGATGAGAGATCCAACGCGCAAACAAAGAGTCGGATAATTTCGGGGATATCTGTGCCAGCTGAACCACCCGCCGCGACCGGTCGGTACATAGCAGCAAGATATATGCTTGCGGCACCGAACACGATGTATATAGAACGCATGCCGCGTATTCCGTCTCCTTGCCGGCACGGAAGCAAGATTTGATATGCGTTACTATAGTAGTCCATATGAGGACACTGGCCTTTCCAG